CAGGAACTTTTGGTGATATGTATATAATTTTTAAAAGTATAAATAATATTAACTTTCACTTTCTATGTATTTTTTGTAACTAAGTATATAATTAATCAATATTTTTTTTTTTTACAAAAAAAAAAAAAAATTTTTATTTGAGTACAATTCTGATTTATACGAGACTGCCAAACAAGTTTTTTTTTCCACCGATTCTATAAGAATATAATTCTCTAAGCTAAGCAGATATGTTGATAATTTAATTTAATTATCATGCAAAAGTTTTCTATAATTAAAAACCGAGGAATATAAATCTAATTACTCCTTTAACTTTTACTGCCTCTGTCAGTTTTGTACCACAATTTTCCAGGTAAATGCAGCTTCAACTTTCAGGACTTACTTCAATCACTTTTGATTGACTCTCAGAGCCATTTCGATGCGCTGCTGATTCAGTGCATGTTGACCGCAGGCAACTAATGCAAATACATAATCATTTTGACGGCTCCCTACAGACACACTCATCCTTGAGCAGCAGCCAAGGGTATATATAGGAGATATTCGAGTGCCCAGTACGAAGTTATCTGGTACGAAACACAATTCCGGTGCAGAAAATAAATTATAAGCAAAGTTTCGAACCCTTGAGGCGATGCACGTTCTGTCCGCAGAGTTTCTCACGCCACAAATGCAGACAAAAGAGAAGACTTGTCTTAAATCTCCTTTTGGATATGTATTACATGCTGTGAGTGTGTAAGTGTGTGTGTGTCTATCGATGACCTCTTTTTGGCAGCCAGGCTGAGTGGAATGTATGTGTAGGCTGTGGCTTTACTGTTCGCCTGCTGGAGAGCTTTATGTGGCCTGAGTTGGCCTGGCCTGGTTTCGCTTGGCAGCCGGTCTAATTAAGCTATGCCAATCTGCATGCCTGCTGAAGACTCACACTCCCCCCAGGGGAGTCTGCTCTAATCAAGCCAGCAGCAGCTGGCGCAAAAACAAAAAAAACTTTATATATATTTCGCTATGGCCAAACAATCAGGGAATCAGTGTCATGATCTCGAACTTGAGCCCCCATGCGGCTGACTAGCTGTTTGGCTGCTTGGCTGCTTGGCTGATAAAGCCAAGATCCCGCGCCTCGCATAGCCAAATTGAAAAATGCTCAATGGCTTCATGGCCTGCTGTCTGCCGTTGCTTTTGCTTTTGGCTCAAAGTCAAGTTGAAGGTTCAATGAAATGCGGCAGCTGCAAAATGCAGCGGGCCGCGGGCCAAAAGACGTTGCCATGCTCTGAGACGCGCATATATTACAAGTGGATACCCAGAGCCCAAAAGTCGTGATGATGTAGACGTTGTACACGCTCTTGCTGTTCGCTGCTGGCCGCCTCTGCTTCATTTGGTCTGGCCTATGCCAAAAAAAAAACTATATGCATACATATATATATTTTCGCCCGTTCCATGCTTTAAACGAATTTAATGATGCTGCCCGCAACATCGTCGTCGTCGTCGTCGTCGTGGCTGTCTCTCGCCATAAGATTGACTGTCTATCTCGGCTCATGGCCTGCTCTGTCTATGCCTTCTGTCTTTCTCTCAGTCGGTCCGTCCGTCCGGCTGTGTCAGTCTTTGGCCTGCCATATGCTCCATGTCTGCGCATGCATGTCGCCTTTTCTGGCGGCAGGGCTTGCACAGATCGCTGCATAGACATGCCAAAGCGTTGACTCTTTTTATTTTTAGCTGGCACTGACTTTGCCTGCACAGTGGTGAAGCGTGTTATGAAAACTCATATAGAAATATAGAAATTATTATATTTTTTAAGCAAAACTTATTTCAAGAAATAATTTTCTTTTAATTTCCTTTCTGAGCTTAATTTATTTAAAAAAAATTTTTAAATTAGAAAAAAAAAAATGGTATTTGAAATATCTGCATATATTAATATAATTAATTATGAATATAA